CTTTTTGTCCTCAGGACTGATCTTTTCTTGGAGCTTCTCGTCCTCCACTGTGCTCTTCATGTTGAAGGAAAGAGACTCAAGAGAATTTTTGGCAGTGATCTTGTCTCTCTGGGCTTCATCTTCAGATCTGAACTGTTCTGCTTCTTGCACCATGCGCTCAATGTCTTCCTTGCTCAGTCGACCTGAGGAAGAATGAAACATAAAGCTTGCGTCAGTCACTTTAAAACCTTCTCTGATGAACAATCTTTGCCCTGTAATATGTGCTCCAACCTTTGTCATTAGTGATGGTGATCTTGTTCTCCTTTCCGGTGCTTTTGTCCACTGCAGACACATTGAGAATGCCGTTGGCATCAATGTCAAAGGTCACTTCGATCTGAGGGACTCCTCTGGGAGCAGGCGGAATACCAGTCAATTCAAATTTCCCCAAGATATTATTATCTTTGGTCATGGCTCTTTCCCCTTCGTAAACCTAAAACAAGGTATGATGTTTATTGGATCAGTGAACACGTTCAACCCTGAGGCACAGTGCAATTAAAAACGTGTTTATCTTCTTACAGATTCATCCTGTTCTTGCTGTTTTTCCACCCTAGAGTTCTTCAAATAAAGTAATTTTAATATCAAAGTTAACACAAATGAATTCATAATGCAGTTTTGGGGGTCAAGCTTCATCATTTCACTTGGACACTAAAATCTATTTCAGTCGATTCATAGGTCGAGTTCCTGGTGTGGTTTGGATTATTTTTTACTACATGTAAGTATACAACTATATTTTTAATATAGTTAATAATTTAATTACCTAATTCAACTCTTACTTTTGACAGAGGGGTGGGTTTGGATAGGTTTTTTATTTCCCTTTTTAATAAACTCACCGGTTGAAACATGGATTTTATTTACCCATTCGCCTGATCTGATGCAGAGAAAAAGGCAGAAACAGCAGAAAGTTGTGAGGGGAGGTAAATAACTTTTCATAGTACTGTGGGGTACCATTTGTAAAGTTACACAGTCAAAACTGTAAAATAATAATCAATAATTTGGGTTACTTATATGTCATAAATGAAAAACATTGGAGCTTCATTTATATTAATTTATATTTCCACCATGTTATTTCCAAATATATAGGTTGCCGCTAAATAGTTTTACATTCTAAACTAAATATTCAAATTGGAGATAAATATTTAATTGGCAAACATGACACAGCAAAACAATATTTATCAAAACTTTATTGTACCCATTAGTCGTTGTAGATCTTACTATGGGCGACTGACTGACACTTATGGAGACGTTCAAACTCACTGGAGAGACACACAAAGCTTTAGGTGTGTGAAAGCACACCAGAGGGTCACCAGAGTCACCACATCAGATAACATATCTGAAAGACCATATGTGTGTTGTGCAACAGAATGATTACGCTGTGTTTATTTTAAGTAGTTGGAGCTTTAACAACGGTACTATTGGTATACTGGATTTATCTGGATCACATTCTAATTTTACAAATGCTTTTGCTGACTTCATTACCAATGATCACAAGTTCCTAAAAACACATCTACTGCTAAGAGCATTATGCATATTTTGTTTTTATCTCTGGATCCGTGAAAAAAAAATTTCTATACTTACTTATCTTAAAACTAAATGTTTTCAAACCTTTAAAGCTTAAATTAAATTGAAGACATTGTGGTTTTTCCTTTACCATCAGAAGTTTTTGTTGACCTCATGTCAATATATATTCTGAAATTGCACATATGCACACAGATACACACACATGAACACGCAAACACACGCACCCACGCACATACACGTTTTTCTACTTTCACAAGGACTTTGCAGTGGCCTCCATTCATTTTCATTCATTTTTGTAGGTTATTCTAACACTTATGCTAAATCTAACCATAACCAGTGTGAACTCAATTCACACTTTAGTCCTGAACCTTATCCATAACCAGTCAGTCCCCACAACGTAGCATGAGTTAGGAAAATGGTCGTTACAACGCATCAAATTCAAGGCCACACAAACACACACCATGCATACACATCTTATTTAAGAACATGACACAAGCAACTCTTCAAAGTCTTCAAGATTTTATTGCTTATTTCTTGAGAAAACACATGTTTCCATTAGTGTTTTTCTGATTAGTTTTCAGTAAGGGTCTGGTCGATCCAGCTGCGCACGTAGGCCATGTTGACATACACTCCTGGGCTGTACACATTGCAGTCGATGGTGCCCCAAGACACAGTACCCACAAGAGACCACACACCTTTGCTTTCACACACCAGTGGGCCACCAGAGTCACCCTGAAACAAGGCAAATAGTTTGCAAGATTAACTTAAGATGGATGAACTTGCATTCATACACTATCTGTGTTCTGCCTTCTGTGAGCTCTGTGCAGGCTGATTTTCAAAACAGGAAAAAATGTAGCAATAGGACAGTTGGTGACTCTTATGATATACACAATCACACTCACATTTAAAGAGGATTTTTCACAAAGTTTTTAAAAGAGCATATTTAATTTCACATTTCACACATTACAAATGTATTTTGAAAACATATTATTCAGTAGTCATTTTAAGCTTGTATGTTTTTAACCATTGAATTGCACATTACCTTGCAGGAAGACATTTTAGAACCACCAGCACAGAACATGGCATCAGTGATCGTACTGTCACCCCAGAAAATTCTGCACTGAGCAGCGCTGAGCACAGGCAGAGCGGACTGGTGCAGGTAACGAGCACTGACTGAGAAGACAGAAAAAAAAAAAACACAACCACTCCAAATCCATTACAGGGCTTTTTTTAATATAAGATTTTCCAGCTTTGATGCTTGTAAAACAATCCTGATTAGACATGTAAAGAGGCTCAACCACAGGATGTTGCTGTCATGCCCCATCCAGTGGTGACACATTTGGTTCCAGAGGTGATTCTGCTCCTGGAGGAGACCAAGCACACTGGAGACACGCGGGAGTTGAACTCTGCTGGGGAGGAGAGCTTCAGAAGTTGGATGTCAAAGTTATAGCCTACAAAGTTGTAGGAAGGGTGGGTGATGATGTACATAGAGGTGAAGAAATGTCAAATTATTTTTAAAAAAAGTTGAAATATCTGTCACACAGATAAAAAGCTCATGTTTTAGAAAACAGATTTTTTTTTTTTTTTGAATGATTGTCCTTACCTTAGAAATGGTCCTGATCTGAATGGGCTCGCTGTTGGACAGCCTATCGTGCTCACCCAGGATCACACGGTGGTCTGGCAGCCTACCAAAATGAAACGCCATCTTATTAATTATTTACTTTTAGTAAACTCTTTTCAAATGTTTTCAATGGGACACATGCAGCGACTTACCACACTTGGCAATGAGCAGCTGTGACAACCCAGTCCTTGTTGATCAGTGATCCCCCACAGAAGTGAAACCCTTTTTTGTCCTAAGTTTGGAACAATGTCTCTTCAAGAGATTTTCTTTGCCTGAGGATTTTGTTTTTGCATGATTCAACAGAACTGGAGAATTTCAGAAGACTGAGCGACCTACCTGAAGAGAAACATGCCAGGGCCAGGAACCGGACACTGCATTCTCGCCATTAATAATCTTGTTGTATCCACTCACCTTGGGCTTAATAGTAGGCACTCCACACCCTGAGGCCCAAAGATTAAATCCAACATCATTCTTGTTCCTAATTGCAATGGCTATGCTCAGTTACATTACAGTGTAATCAGTGCATATGTAGTCACAATCCAATTAAAATGTGAAATGTCAATAATTCTTAGGCAATGTTTTTACTGCAATTCTTTTATGGTTTGCCTGGAGATGAAAGCATGAAATGAACACTCACCCAGTGTGGAAGCCACCAGGGCAAAACAACTAACAAGCAAGAACATAACTGTGGCTCAACAAGTCTACCCTATCTGGTAACTTTGTGCTACACAAGCATTTATAGCTGCGTCCAACATGAATGACCCTGACTTTTGTGGGCAGCCATTAGTACAAACCCCATCAATGTTTCACCAGACCCCGCATGAGCAAACACCACCTGCCAATAAGCATCTTCAAAAATCTAAGGTCACACTTGAATTAGAAAAAAATTATTTGAGTTGGAAGAAGCACCAACATGGTTTTCCTTTGCTGTTGCTATTAAAAATGATTCAGTAAGTGAAGCTTGATGCATGCATGAAGAACAGACAACACATTCTGTTGATAAACTCTTACTTCTCCTACTCAGGAGCTGTTTTTAACACCTTTTCTTGCATTTCCTGTGAGGTAAGTTGATACACATTAAAATTATGCTGATCAAAATGTGGTTATATTTAAGGAAGAGTCTGTCAGATTGGTAATATAGTTGCCATATTGCATGCCTTGTCATTAACCTATTACTATGTTGGAGAGTTATTTAAAGTAAACCTTAATGATTTATACAATCAAACGCTGAAGACTGAACACACCTCAAGCCTGAGTTCATTTCACTGCAGTTTTGCCTTTAATGACACACAATTGTCAATAGGAAGGAGGAAATACCTAATCTTTTTCCAACATCAAAATCTGAAAAAAAGCAAAGTGTGGCATGCAGATTGGTTGGACTGGGGTTCAACCAAATCCACTGAAACTAATTAGTAACACAACCCAAGTGATTTGAGCTAGTATAAATGCAGCTGTATGAATTTCTCAGAGGTTTGTTTAACAACACAAACGGCATAATGAAGGTCAATGAACACAGCAGACAGTCAGGGATAAAGATGCGTAGATGTTTATTGCAAGAGTTTAGCCTTTGACAGCAGAAAACCAGCTTTAAACATGTTTTGTCTCACTGTTTAACTCATCTGAATGACTGTCTGAAATGTTTGACTATTCAAAAGTGAACATTTTTTCTCAGTTGTCTGTGCAATTTGCAACAAGTTCAATATGTGGTAGAAGGTACTCTGGTCACATCAGACCAAAAATTCAACCTTTTGCCTTATGGTGATGCTGGTGGTAAGTTTGTGCAGCGGGGAGGCTTTTCTTTGTAGGGATTGGAAAGTGGACAGAGTTGATGGATTGTGTTCTTAAATACAAGGCAATGTTGGAAGGACTCCTGTAAAATTTAAAACTGGGGTTGAAGGTCACTTTACAGCAAGACGATGACCAGAAACATACATACAGAGCTGAAAATGGAGCGGTTCAAATGAAAGCACATGTGTCTGAATGGAATAGGTCAAATTTAATTGTGATTGTGATTTTCTTCTGATTAGAATTAGAATATGTTGTTTACAAAGACTGTCCATCCAATGGAGCCAAGCTTGAGCTCTTCTGAAAAAAATCTGAAATGTCTCTGAATTTACAAAGCTTGAATAGTGATATCACAAAAAGCTCTTGCATTGAAATATGGTTGGGCAAACTTTAATTCAGGGGTCTGCTTCACATTTGCCAAAAGTGTTGAGAACCATACATACTTTACTATTTACTTCACAGGTGTGTACAAACGTATTTGTGCTGGCCTCTAAAACATCTCTATAAAGATTTGCAATTATGTCTGAAAGGGACAAAGTTCAGAGACCCAGACTCTTTCTGGCAAGAAGGAGCCTGTTGCTATTTCAGCAATAGCTCATTACACTAAGAGTAATGCTGTAGAGCAAATATAAGTTGAATTTTTATGGTGTGCCCATTTGCCACAAAATGCATGGTTTGAACAGCCAGTACATGTAATCAAGCTAAGATAAGTAACTGTTGTGCTTATTGCTCATATTTAGTCGACTTCCTCAATGGTTGGGCCAGAGGAAGAACCAGCTCCGGCTCCGCCAGGGAAGCCTCCTGGCATTCCTCCTGGCATTCCTCCTGGCATTCCTCCTGGCATTCCTCCCAGGCATTCCTCCGACATTCCTCCTGGCATTCCCCCCTGGTACAGCTTAGAGATTATTGGGTTGCAAATTTTCTCCAGCTCTTTCTGTTGGTGCTCATACTCTTCCTTCTCAGCTGTCTATGTAAAAAAACAAAGAAGCAGATAATTGTTGTGTAAGAGCTATAAAAGTAAAAACACAATAAGGAACTGGAAAAATGTCTATCACAGTTTCTCTGCTAAACATCTGTGATTTCACAACTTTTTCAAACATGAAGCTCTTGTTCTCGGATAATGATGAAAGCATTTTTAATTTACGGATATCTTACCTGGTTCCTGTCCAGCCAGGCGATTACTTCGTTACACTTATCTGTGATGGTCTTTTTGTCCTCAGGACTGATCTTTTCTTGGAGCTTCTCGTCCTCCACTGTGCTCTTCATGTTGAAGGCCAGAGACTCAAGAGAATTTTTGGCAGTGATCTTGTCTCTCTGGGCTTCATCTTCAGATCTGAACTGTTCTGCTTCTTGCACCATGCGCTCAATGTCTTCCTTGCTCAGTCGACCTGAGGAAGAATGAAACATAAAGCTTGCGTCAGTCACTTTAAAACCTTCTCTGATGAACAATCTTTGCCCTGTAATATGTGCTCCAACCTTTGTCATTAGTGATGGTGATCTTGTTCTCCTTTCCGGTGCTTTTGTCCACTGCAGACACATTGAGAATGCCGTTGGCATCAATGTCAAAGGTCACTTCGATCTGAGGGACTCCTCTGGGAGCAGGCGGAATACCAGTCAATTCAAATTTCCCCAAGATATTATTATCTTTGGTCATGGCTCTTTCCCCTTCGTAAACCTAAAACAAGGCATTGATGTTTATTGGATCAGTGAACACGTTCAACCCTGAGGCACAGTGCAATTAAAAACGTGTTTATCTTCTTACAGATTCATCCTTCTTGCTGTTTTTCCACCCTAGAGTTCTTCAAATAAAGTAATTTTAGTATCAAAGTTAACACAAATGAATTCATAATGCAGTTTTGGGGTCAAGCTTCATCATTTCAATTGGGCTGGACTCTGGGCTTTCACTTGGACACTAAAATCTATTTCAGTCGATTCATAGGTCGAGTTCCTGGTGTGGTTTGGATTATTTTTTACTACATGTAAGTATACAACTATATTTTTAATATAGTTAATAATTTAATTACCTAATTCAACTCTTACTTTTGACAGAGGGCTGGGTGGGTTTGGATAGGTTTTTTATTTCCCTTTTTAATAAACTCACCGGTTGAAACATGGATTTTATTTACCCATTCGCATGATCTGATGCAGAGAAAAGACAGAAACAGCAGAAAGTTGTGAGGGGAGGTAAATAACTTTTCATAGTACTGTGGGGTACCATTTGTAAAGTTACACAGTCAAAACTGTAAAATAATAATCAATAATTTGGGTTACTTATATGTCATAAATGAAAAACATTGGAGCTTCATTTATATTAATTTATATTTCCACCATGTTATTTCCAAATATATAGGTTGCCGCTAAATAGTTTTACATTCTAAACTAAATATTCAAATTGGAGATAAATATTTAATTGGCAAACATGACACAGCAAAACAATATTTATCAAAACTTTATTGTACCCATTAGTCGTTGTAGATCTTACTATGGGCGACTGACTGACACTTATGGAGACGTTCAAACTCACTGGAGAGACACACAAAGCTTTAGGTGTGTGAAAGCACACCAGAGGGTCACCAGAGTCACCACATCAGATAACATATCTGAAAGACCATATGTGTGTTGTGCAACAGGAATGATTACGCTGTGTTTATTTTAAGTAGTTGGAGCTTTAACAATGGTACTATTGATATACTGGATTTATCTGGATCACATTCTAATTTTACAAATGCTTTTGCTGACTTCATTACCAATGATCACAAGTTCCTAAAAACACATCTACTGCTAAGAGCATTATGCATATTTTGTTTTTATCTCTGGATCCGTGAAAAAAAAATTTCTATACTTACTTATCTTAAAACTAAATGTTTTCAAACCTTTAAAGCTTAAATTAAATTGAAGACATTGTGGTTTTTCCTTTACCATCAGAAGTTTTTGTTGACCTCATGTCAATATATATTCTGAAATTGCACATATGCACACAGATACACACACATGAACACGCAAACACACGCACCCACGTACATACACGTTTTTCTACTTTCACAAGGACTTTGCAGTGGCCTCCATTCATTTTCATTCATTTTTGTAGGTTATTCTAACACTTATGCTAAATCTAACCATAACCAGTGTGAACTCAATTCACACTTTAGTCCTGAACCTTATCCATAACCAGTCAGTCCCCACAACGTAGCATGAGTTAGGAAAATGGTCGTTACAACGCATCAAATTCAAGGCCACACAAACACACACCATGCATGCATACACATCTTATTTAAGAACATGACACAAGCAAGTCTTCAAAGTCTTCAAGATTTTATTGCTTATTTCTTGAGAAAACACATGTTTCCATTAGTGCTTTTCTGATTAGTTTTTAGCAAGGGTCTGGTCGATCCAGCTGCGCAGGTAGGCCATGTTGACATACACTACTGGGCTGTACACATTGCAGTCGAAGGAGCCCCAAGACACAGTACCCACAAGAGACCACACACCTTTGCTTTCACACACCAGTGGGCCACCAGAGTCACCCTGAAACAAGGCAAATAGTTTGCAAGATTAACTTAAGATGGATGAACTTGCATTCATACACTATCGTGTTCTGCCTTCTGTGAGCTCTGTGCAGGCTGATTTTCAAAACAGGAAAAAATGTAGCAATAGGACAGTTGGTGACTCAGATGATATACACAATCACACTCACATTTAAAGAGGATTTTTCACAAAGTTTTTAAAAGAGCATATTTAATGTCACATTTCACACATTACAAATGTATTTTGAAAACATATTATTCAGTAGTCATTTTAAGCTTGTATGTTTTTAACCATTGAATTGCACATTACCATGCAGGAAGTCAATTTAGAACCACCAGCACAGAACATGGCATCAGTGATCGTACTGTCACCCCAGAACATTCTGCACTGAGCAGTGCTGAGCACAGGCAGAGCGGTCTGCTGCAGGAAACGACCAAAGACTGAGAAGACAGAAAAAAAAAAAACACAACCACTCCAAATCCATTACAGGGCTTTTTTTAATATAAGATTTTCCAGCTTTGATGCTTGTAAAACAATCCTGATTAGACATGTAAAGTGGCTCACTCACAGGATGTTGCTGTCATGCCCCATCCAGTGGTGACACATTTGGTTCCAGAGGGGATTCTGCTCCTGGAGGAGACCAAGCACACTGGAGACACGCGGGAGTCGAACTCTGCTGGGGAGGAGAGCTTCAGAAGTTGGATGTCAAAGTTAATGGTTTTTGAGCTGAAGGAAGGGTGGGTGATGACCTGTACATAGAGGTGAAGAAATGTCAAATTATTTTTTAAAAAAGTTGAAATATCTGTCACACAGATAAAAAGCTCATGTTTTAGAAAACAGATTTTTTTTTTTTTTTTTTTTTTGAATGATTGTCCTTACCTTAGAAATGGTCCTGATCTGAATGGGCTCGCTGTTGGACAGCCTATCGTGCTCACCCAGGATCACACGGTGGTCTGACGGCCTACCAAAATGAAACGCCATCTTATTAATTATTTACTTTTAGTAAACTCTTTTCAAATGTTTTCAATGGGACACATGCAGCAACTTACCACACTTGGCAATGAGCAGCTGTGACAACCCAGTCCTTGTTGATCAGTGATCCCCCACAGAAGTGAAACCCGCTTTTGTCCTAAGTTTGGAACACTGTCTCTTCAAGAGATTTTCTTTGCCTGAGGTTTTTGTTTTTGCATGATTCAACAGAACTGGAGAATTTCAGAAGACTGAGCGACCTACCTGAAGAGAAACTTGCCAGGGCCAGGAACCGGACACTGCATTCTCGCCATTAATAATCTTGTTGTATCCACTCACCTTGGGCTTAATAGTAGGCACTCCACACCCTGAGGCCCAAAGATTAAATCCAACATCATTCTTGTTCCTAATTGCAATGGCTATGCTCAGTTACATTACAGTGTAATCAGTGCATATGTAGTCACAATCCAATTAAAATGTGAAATGTCAATAATTCTTAGGCAATGTTTTTTACTGCAATTCTTTTATGGTTTGCCTGGAGATGAAAGCATGAAATGAACACTCACCCAGTGTGGAAGCCACCAGGGCAAAACAACTAACAAGCAAGAACATAACTGTGGCTCAACAAGTCTACCTTATCTGGTAACTTTGTGCTACACAAGCATTTATAGCTGCGTCCAACATGAATGACCCTGACTTTTGTGGGCAGCCATTAGTACAAACCGCATCAATGTTTCACCAGACCCCGCATGAGCAAACACCACCTGCCGATAAGCATCTTCAACAATCTAAGGTCACACTTGAATTAGAAAAAAATTATTTGAGTTGGAAGAAGCACCAACATGGTTTTCCTTTGCTGTTGCTATTAAAAATGATTCAGTAAGTGAAGCTTGATGCATGCATGAAGAACAGACAACACATTCTGTTGATAAACTCTTACTTCTCCTACTCAGGAGCTGTTTTAACACCTTTTCTTGCATTTCCTGTGAGGTAAGTTGATACACATTAAAATTATGCTGATCAAAATGTGGTTATATTTAAGGAAGAGTCTGTCAGATTGGTAATATAGTTGCCATATTGCATGCCTTGTCATTAACCTATTACTATGTTGGAGAGTTATTTAAAGTAAACCTTAATGATTTATACAATCAAACGCTGAAGACTGAACACACCTCAAGCCTGAGTTCATTTCACTGCAGTTTTGCCTTTAATGACACACAATTGTCAATAGGAAGGAGGAAATACCTAATCTTTTTCCAACATCAAAATCTGAAAAAAAGCAAAGTGTGGCATGCAGATTGGTTGGACTGGGGTTCAACCAAATCCACTGAAACTAATTAGTAAACACACTCTACCCAAGTGATTTGAGCTTAGTATAAATGCAGCTGTATGAATTTCTCAGAGGTTTGTTTAACAACACAAACGGCATAATGAAGGTCAATGAACACAGCAGACAGTCAGGGATAAAGATGCGTAGATGTTTATTGCAAGAGTTTAGCCTTTGACAGCAGAAATGCCACCAGCTTTAAACATGTTTTGTCTCACTGTTTAACTCATCTGAATGACTGTCTGAAATGTTTGACTATTCAAAAGTGAACATTTTTTCTCAGTTGTCTGTGCAATTTGCAACAAGTTCAATATGTGGTAGAAGGTACTCTGGTCACATCAGACCAAAAATTCAACCTTTTGCCTTATGGTGATGCTGGTGGTAAGTTTGTGCAGCGGGGAGGCTTTTCTTTGTAGGGATTGGAAAGTGGACAGAGTTGATGGATTGTGTTCTTAAATACAAGGCAATGTTGGAAGAACTCCTGTAAAATTTAAAACTGGGGTTGAAGGTCATTTACAGCAAGACGATGACCAGAAACATACATACAGAGCTGAAAATGGAGCGGTTTAAATGAAAGCACATGTCTGAATGGAATAGGTCAAATTTAATTGTGATTGTGATTTTCTTCTGATTAGAATTAGAATATGTTGTTTACAAAGACTGTCCATCCAATGGAGCCAAGCTTGAGCTCTTCTGAAAAAAATCTGAAATGTCTCTGAATTTACAAAGCTTGAATAGTGATATCACAAAAAAGTTCTTGCATTGAAATATGGTTGGGCAAACTTTAATTCAGGGGTCTGCTTCACATTTGCCAAAGTGTTGAGAACCATACATACTTTACTATTTACTTCACAGGTGTGTACAAACGTATTTGTGCTGGCCTCTAAAACATCTCTATAAAGATTTGCAATTATGACTGAAAGGGACAAAGTTCAGAGACCCAGACTCTTTCTGGCAAGAAGGAGCCTGTTGCTATTTCAGCAATAGCTCATTACACTAAGAGTAATGCTGTAGAGCAAATATAAGTTGAATTTTTATGGTGTGCCCATTTGCCACAAATGCATGGTTTGAACAGCCAGTACATGTAATCAAGCTAAGATAAGTAACTGTTGTGCTTATTGCTCATATTTAGTCGACTTCCTCAATGGTTGGGCCAGAGGAAGAACCAGCTCCGGCTCCGCCAGGGAAGCCTCCTGGCATTCCTCCTGGCATTCCTCCTGGCATTCCTCCTGGCATTCCTCCCGACATTCCTCCTGGCATTCCTCCTGGCATTCCTCCCGACATTCCTCCTGGCATTCCTCCTGGCATTCCCCCCTGGTACAGCTTAGAGATTATTGGGTTGCAAATTTTCTCCAGCTCTTTCTGTTGGTGCTCATACTCTTCCTTCTCAGCTGTCTATGTAAAAAAACAAAGAAGCAGATAATTGTTGTGTAAGAGCTATAAAAGTAAAAACACAATAAGGAACTGGAAAAATGTCTATCACAGTTTCTCTGCTAAACATCTGTGATTTCACAACTTTTTCAAACATGAAGCTCTTGTTCTCGGATAATGATGAAAGCATTTTTAATTTACGGATATCTTACCTGGTTCCTGTCCAGCCAGGCGATTACTTCGTTACACTTATCTGTGATGGTCTTTTTGTCCTCAGGACTGATCTTTTCTTGGAGCTTCTCGTCCTCCACTGTGCTCTTCATGTTGAAGGCCAGAGACTCAAGAGAATTTTTGGCAGTGATCTTGTCTCTCTGGGCTTCATCTTCAGATCTGAACTGTTCTGCTTCTTGCACCATGCGCTCAATGTCTTCCTTGCTCAGTCGACCTGAGGAAGAATGAAACATAAAGCTTGCGTCAGTCACTTTAAAACCTTCTCTGATGAACAATCTTTGCCCTGTAATATGTGCTCCAACCTTTGTCATTAGTGATGGTGATCTTGTTCTCCTTTCCGGTGCTTTTGTCCACTGCAGACACATTGAGAATGCCGTTGGCATCAATGTCAAAGGTCACTTCGATCTGAGGGACTCCTCTGGGAGCAGGCGGAATACCAGTCAATTCAAATTTCCCCAAGATATTATTATCTTTGGTCATGGCTCTTTCCCCTTCGTAAACCTAAAACAAGGCATTGATGTTTATTGGATCAGTGAACACGTTCAACCCTGAGGCACAGTGCAATTAAAAACGTGTTTATCTTCTTACAGATTCATCCTGTTCTTGCTGTTTTCCACCCTAGAGTTCTTCAAATAAAGTAATTTTAGTATCAAAGTTAACACAAATGAATTCATAATGCAGTTTTGGGGGTCAAGCTTCATCATTTCAATTGGGCTGGACTCTGGGCTTTCACTTGGACACTAAAATCTATTTCAGTCGATTCATAGGTCGAGTTCCTGGTGTGGTTTGGATTATTTTTTACTACATGTAAGTATACAACTATATTTTTAATATAGTTAATAATTTAATTACCTAATTCAACTCTTACTTTTGACAGAGGGGCTGGGTGGGTTTGGATAGGTTTTTTATTTCCCTTTTTAATAAACTCACCGGTTGAAACATGGATTTTATTTACCCATTCGCCTGATCTGATGCAGAGAAAAAGGCAGAAACAGCAGAAAGTTGTGAGGGGAGGTAAATAACTTTTCCTAGTACTGTGGGGTACCATTTGTAAAGTTACACAGTCAAAACTGTAAAATAATAATCAATAATTTGGGTTACTTATATGTCATAAATGAAAACATTGGAGCTTCATTTATATTAATTTATATTTCCACCATGTTATTTCCAAATATATAGGTTGCCGCTAAATAGTTTTACATTCTAAACTAAATATTCAAATTGGAGATAAATATTTAATTGGCAAACATGACACAGCAAAACAATATTTAGCAAAACTTTATTGTACCCATTAGTGTTGTAGATCTTACTATGGGCGACTGACTGACACTTATGGAGACGTTCAAACTCACTGGAGAGACACACAAAGCTTTAGGTGTGTGAAAGCACACCAGAGGGTCACCAGAGTCACCACATCAGATAACATATCTGAAAGACCATATGTGTGTTGTGCAACAGGAATGATTACGCTGTGTTTATTTTAAGTAGTTGGAGCTTTAACAATGGTACTATTGGTATACTGGATTTATCTGGATCACATTCTAATTTACAAATGCTTTTGCTGACTTCATTACCAATGATCACAAGTTCCTAAAAACACATCTACTGCTAAGAGCATTATGCATATTTTGATTTTATCTCTGGATCCGTGAAAAAAAATTTCTATACTTACTTATCTTAAAACTAAATGTTTTCAAACCTTTAAAGCTTAAATTAAATTGAAGACATTGTGGTTTTTCCTTTACCATCAGAAGTTTTTGTTGACCTCATGTCAATATATATTCTGAAATTGCACATATGCACACAGATACACACACATGAACACGCAAAGACACGCACCCACGCACACACGTTTTTCTACTTTCACAAGGACTTTGCAGTGGCCTCCATTCATTTTCATTTCATTTTTGTAGGTTATTCTAACACTTATGCTAAATCTAACCATAACCAGTGTGAACTCAATTCACACTTTAGTCCTGAACCTTATCCATAACCAGTCAGTCCCCACAACGTAGCATGAGTTTAGGAAAATGGTCGTTACAACGCATCCAATTCAAGGCCACACAAACACACACCATGCATGCATACACATCTTATTTAAGAACATGACACAAGCAACTCTTCAAAGTCTTCAAGATTTTATTGCTTATTTCTTGAGAAAACACATGTTTCCATTAGTGTTTTTCTGATTAGTTTTTAGCAAGGGTCTGGTCGATCCAGCTGCGCACGTAGGCCATGTTGACATACACTGCTGGGCTGTACACATTGCAGTCGAAGATGCCCCAAGACACAGTACCCACAAGAGACCACACACCTTTGCTTTCACACACCAGTGGGCCACCAGAGTCACCCTGAAACAAGGCAAATAGTTTGCAAGATTAACTTAAGATGGATGAACTTGCATTCATACACTATCGGTGTTCTGCCTTCTGTGAGCTCTGTGCAGGCTGATTTTCAAAACAGGAAAAATGTAGCAATAGGACAGTTGGTGACTCAGATGATATACACAATCACACTCACATTTAAAGAGGATTTTTCACAAAGTTTTTAAAAGAGCATATTTAATGTCACATTTCACACATTACAAATGTATTTTGAAAACATATTATTCGGTAGTCATTTTAAGCTTGTATGTTTTTAACCATTGAATTGCACATTACCTTGCAGGAAGTCAATTTAGAACCACCAGCACAGAACATGGCATCAGTGATCATTCTTTCACCCCAGAAAATTCTGCACTGAGCAGTGCTGCACAGGCAGAGCGGTCTGCTGCAGGAACGACCAAAGACTGAGAAGACAGAAAAAAAAAAAACACAACCACTCCAAAATCCATTACAGGGCTTTTTTTAATATAAGATTTTCCAGCTTTGATGCTTGTAAAACAATCCTGATTAGACATGTAAAGAGGCTCACTCACAGGATGTTGCTGTCCTCCCCCATCCAGTGGTGACACATTTGGTTCCAGAGGGGATTCTGCTCCTGGAGGAGACCAAGCACACTGAGACACGCGGGAGTCGAACTCTGCTGGGGAGGAGAGCTTCAGAAGTTGGATGTCAAAGTTAATGGTTATTGAGTTGAAGGAAGGGTGGGTGATGACCTGTACATAGAGGTGAAGAAATGTCAAATTATTTTTTTAAAAAGTTGAAATATCTGTCACACAGATAAAAAGCTCATGTTTTAGAAAACAGATTTTTTTTTTTTTTTTTTTGAATGATTGTCCTTACCTTAGAAATGGTCCTGATCTGAATGGGCTCGCTGTTGGACAGCCTATCGTGCTCACCCAGGATCACACGGTGGTCTGACGGCCTACCAAAATGAAACGCCATCTTATTAATTATTTACTTTTAGTAAACTCTTTTTCAAATGTTTTCAATGGGACACATGCAGCGACTTACCACACTTGGCAATGAGCAGCTGTGACAACCCAGTCCTTGTTGATCAGTGATCCCCCACAGAAGTGAAAACCGCTTTTGTCCTAAGTTTGGAACACTGTCTCTTCAAGAGATTTTCTTTGCCTGAGGTTTTTGTTTTTGCATGATTCAACAGAACTGGAGAATTTCAGAAGACTGAGCGACCTACCTGAAGAGAAACTTGCCAGGGCCAGGAACCGGACACTGCATTCTCGCCATTAATAATCTTGTTGTATCCACTCACCTTGGGCTTAATAGTAGGCACTCCACACCCTGAGGCCCAAAGATTAAATCCAACATCATTCTTGTTCCTAATTGCAATGGCTATGCTCAGTTACATTACAGTGTAATCAGTGCATATGTAGTCACAATCCAATTAAAATGTGAAATGTCAATAATTCTTAGGCAATGTTTTTACTGCAATTCTTTTATGGTTTGCCTGGAGATGAAAGCATGAAATGAACACTCACCCAGTGTGGAAGCCACCAGGGCAAAACTAACAAGCAAGAACATAACTGTGGCTCAACAAGTCTACCCTATCTGGTAACTTTGTGCTACACAAGCATTTATAGCTGCGTCCAACATGAATGACCCTGACTTTTGTGGGCAGCCATTAGTACAAACCGCATCAATGTTTCACCAGACCCCGCATGAGCAAACATCACCTGCCAATAAGCATCTTCAAAAATCTAAGGTCACACTTGAATTAGAAAAAAATTATTTGAGTTGGAAGAAGCACCAACATGGTTTTCCTTTGCTGTTGCTATTAAAAATGATTCAGTAAGTGAAGCTTGATGCATGCATGAAGAACAGACAACACATTCTGTTGATAAACTCTTACTTCTCCTACTCAGGAGCTGTTTTTAACACCTTTTCTTGCATTTCCTGTGAGGTAAGTTGATACACATTAAAATTATGCTGATCAAAATGTGGTTATATTTAAGGAAGAGTCTGTCAGATTGGTAATATAGTTGCCATATTGCATGCCTTGTCATTAACCTATTACTATGTTGGAGAGTTATTTAAAGTAAACCTTAATGATTTATACAATCAAACGCTGAAGACTGAACACACCTCAAGCCTGAGTTCATTTCACTGCAGTTTTGCCTTTAATGACACACAATTGTCAAGGAAGGAGGAAATACCTAATCTTCTTCCAACATCAAAATCTGAAAAAAAGCAAAGTGTGGCATGCAGATTGGTTGGACTGGGGTTCAACCAAATCCACTGAAACTAATTAGTAAACACACTCTACCCAAGTGATTTGAGCTTAGTATAAATGCAGCTGTATGAATTTCTCAGAGGTTTGTTTAACAACACAAACGGCATAATGAAGGTCAATGAACACAGCAGACAGTCAGGGATAAAGATGCGTAGATGTTTATTGCAAGAGTTTAGCCTTTGACAGCAGAAATGCCACCAGCTTTAAACATGTTTTGTCTCACTGTTTAACTCATCTGAATGACTGTCTGAAATGTTTGACTATTCAAAAGTGAACATTTTTTCTCAGTTGTCTGTGCAATTTGCAACAAGTTCAATATGTGGTAGAAGGTACTCTGGTCACATCAGACCAAAAATTCAACCTTTTGCCTTATGGTGATGCTGGTGGTAAGTTTGTGCAGCGGGGAGGCTTTTCTTTGTAGGGATTGGAAAGTGGACAGAGTTGATGGATTGTGTTCTTAAATACAAGGCAATGTTGGAAGGACTCCTGTAAAATTTAAAACTGGGGTTGAAGGTCACTTTACAGCAAGACGATGACCAGAAACATACATACAGAGCTGAAAATGGAGCGGTTTAAATGAAAGCACATGTGTCTGAATGGAATAGGTCAAATTTAATTGTGATTGTGATTTTCTTCTGATTAGAATTAGAATATGTTGTTTACAAAGACTGTCCATCCAATGGAGCCAAGCTTGAGCTCTTCTGAAAAAAATCTGAAATGTCTCTGAATTTACAAAGCTTGAATAGTGATATCACAAAAAAGCTCTTGCATTGAAATATGGTTGGGCAAACTTTAATTCAGGGGTCTGCTTCACATTTGCCAAAAGTGTTGAGAACCATACATACTTTACTATTTACTTCACAGGTGTGTACAAACGTATTTGTGCTGGCCTCTAAAACATCTCTA